CTATCAGGCTCATTAAAATGTATGCCTGGGAGGAGAGCTTTAAAAAGAAGGTGAGTGCGCACCGTTCACAGTGTTACGCAGCGTTTTCACTGCAATAGTCAAAGGCTCATCGATTTTCTGTTTCCTCGTTGGTGTGTGATATGCTTGTAATTTGTGATATTACAAGATGTTCAGGAGGCAGATGGTTATATTTTGCTCTAAAATCGTGCAAAATTTCATCATGTTAACTAGCCGCACAAAAACGACCTCAATGTGTTTTACGATGCATTCAGTGCGACAGCCAAAACAGTCGCTTTTAAAAGTCACTGAAGCCTAATATTAAGTGCAAGATGCATCGGTGATGTACGACACCTTTAAAACAACCTTTTGATTGATGTCTGTCTATTGCAATTCGTTTTGCGACACAGATCGAGGAGATAAGAAAGGAGGAGATGAGTGTCATCAAGGGGGCTACGTTCCTGCAGTCCATCTCTAACTTCTTGACGCCGATCATTCCTATCCTGGCCACCGCCGTGTCCGTCATCGGCTACATGTAAGACATAATGACCAGGAACAGGGCCGAATGCGGTGAAACCTGTGCGAGTAACTAGGGAATTGGATGAACAACGGACAAACAGAAAGGGGGCTAGAAAGGTATAATAATGGCGTTGCGTTGTGTTTAAATGCCCAACTGGACCGGTAGTTATTGTAATAGACAATACGCAAGACCTTTCGTTGTCTCACAGGCAATTCGGTTACCGCTGTGGTTAAACGTTGACGATACTGTCTTATAAACTCTAAAATATTAAGTGCATAAGGCGTGGGAAGATATGGTGGTTGACTGTATAAACACACGCGTTTCTTCTGACGACTTCTGACACGTTTTGCCTGCATGTGCTCCAGCGCCAGTGGAAACGAGCTGCGAGCTGCCGAGGCGTTCACCATGTTTTCCGTCTTCAACGCCTTGCAGATGGCAGTTGGCACGCTGCCATACGGAATCAAAATGATCACTGAGACACATGTGGGGCTGAGACGAATCCAGGTACATCAAGTTCTGAGCAAGCTATCAATTTGGTAACTGCATTTAAGATACGGCTATCGGCAAACCTTGAGCTAGAGTAGAAAGCAAGCTATTCTTTTTACAGTCCTAAATTTACTAACGCATGTTCTAACAGCACGTTAAAGGGTCGCCACAGATCTTGCGAAAGAAAAAGCTCGGATGCTCCCGAATGATGTGCTATCTTTCCACGAGCGCCACTAAATCTCTGAAAGTGGAAGATAAACCATAGCTAGGGCCATGTGGGAATCGAGACTAATATATATATAAATAAATAAATATATATATATATATATATATATATATATATATATATATATATATATATATATATATATATATATATATAATCTATCTATCTATCTATCTATCTATCTATATATCTAATATATATATATATATATATATCTATATATCTCTCTCTACTCTCTCTCTCTTCTCTCTCTCTTCTCTCTATCTCTCTCTCTCTCTCTCCTCTCTCTCCTCTCTCTCTCCTCTCTCTCTCTCTCTCTCCTCTCTCTCTATCTCTATCTCTCTATCTCTCTCTTCTCTCTATCTCTCTCGCTATTCTCTCTATCTCTTCTCTCTCTCTCTCTCTCTCTCTCTCGATCTCTCTATTCTCTCTCTCTCTTCTCTATCCTCTCTCTCTCTCTCTCTCTCTCTCTCTCTCTCTCTCTCTCTCTCTCTATCTCTCTCTCTCTCTCATCTCTCTATATCTCTCTCTCTCTCTCTCTCTCTCTATATATCTCTCTCTCTCTTCTCTCTCGATTATATCTATTTCTAGATCTATATCTATCATATCTATATCTATATCTCTCTCTCTATCTCTTATCTATCTCTCTCTATCTTCCTCTATATCTATATCTATATCTATATCTTATCTCTATCTATATCTATATCTATCTAATCTATATCTATATCTATATCTATATCTATATCTATATCTATATCTATATCTATATCTATATTATATATATTATCTATATATATTATATATATATAATATATATATATATCCTATCTATCTATCTATATCTATCTATCTAGAATATATATATCTCTCTCTCTCTCTCTCCTCTCTCTCTCCTCTCTCTCTCTTCTCTCTCTCTCTCTCTCTCTCTCTCTCTATCTCTCTCTCTCTCTCTCTCTCTCTCTCTCTCTCTCTCTCTCTCTCTCTCTCTTCTTTTTCTCTCTCTATCTCTCTCTCTCTCTCTCTTCTTTCTTTTTTTCTTTCTATATATATATATCTATATATATATATATATATATATATATATATATATATATATATATACATAAATACTGTTGCTTGCACACCAAAGTAAATTCCGCCTTTACGACATTCTTGGTCGTTTTTCCCAATTCTTCGCGTGGTGCGTTTTCGTTTTCGGTGTGCCGATACAGAAGTTTACCAAAATTTATCCATTTTTTCAAATTTTTGATCAGTTCCATGATCATCTTCAAGATAATTAGTATGCTTTAAACATGCAGCCACAAGTACAGCACACACACAAAATCGGTTTCATCTTATCCATACAAAATGCATGCTCGAGTAATCTGAAACCATAGCATTTGCATGCTGCATGCTCTATTTTCAGATGCACCTCCGTATGGGTGAAAGTGTTACATGTCGCAATATCATGTCAAAAGGCTACTTCTGCGGTAGGTTTGCATCACGGGGGGGGGGGCTGCCTATCAGTCGGATGTCGTAGAGTGCTAGTTTTGTAAGTTGTTGGTCTTATATGTTGATGATGGTTGTTAAATCTCTCATGTATGTTTCAGTCCTGGTGAGGTGTCTATGGTCTGTGGTATACGCAGATATGGTAGTGTCCATGACTAAGATATGGTATGACTACATAATATATATATACATGACTACATTATATGGTAGTGTCCATGTTCTTATATATATATCTCTCTCTTAGAGATCTCTTAGAAATATATGTATATATATATATATATACGTTTGTGTATGTATAGAATACGTATACGCTTCATGATATAACAATAGATTTAAAACAAAAATGAAGAATTTCCTAGTACAAACATGCATGACATCAAACAAATGGATTTCCTTATACAAATATAGAACTGTTGCATATATTGATGTTTATATATGAACGTACATATATATATATATATATATATATATATATATATATATATATATAAGCTATCTCCATTCCATGGCCATATCCGCCCTAAGCCTTTCTATTTAGCCTCTCTTTACATGGTCTATAAACATATCGGCCCGTAAATGGCGCTTTAGATGGAATAAGGTTTTAAACGTACATTCTACGGGAAAACTGTCGTGCTCAAAAGCTCATTTTTGAAGAAGAAAAAATTTGGTGGCATCTCCCGAGTACCAAGTTTCATGTGTCTGCTTGCTTAGGAAGCGCAAGGTGCCGCTGTCGATGATGATTGGGACCTTGCCTGCAGCGCCTGCTCTTGATGAAGGACATCGAGGTGAACCTGACTCACTGCGACTCGGGCAGCGCCATTGAAATCGTCAACGCCACATTCGCTTGGGAGAGACCCGTCAGCAGGAAGGGCAAGAGCGAAAAGAGTGAGTCGGTCTCATTGCCCCGAATTCAGCACTTGCTGAGCATTTGTTGTGGAAATATGACTTTCACATTTTGAGTTCTGTCAAGAATTCACGTCAGAGTCTAACTCTGTGTCTATCCGGCTTTTGCGCTAATTCTGCCAAGAGGGATTCGAATAACCCCACACTCCCCCGTCCTGGAAGCTCAGAGCACATTTGTTATAGAGGCGCTTACAAGGGATCAAACCATTTCTAGCTGATGTGATTTGCGTTCAGAGAGAACCTACGAATCAATATATTCTATCTCGGTTTAAAAAGGAAACCTTTAAAGATATGTAATATACAACAACTAAGGGTTATATTCATTGTCGGGGTGCCCACCTGTGATGTTTTGAGGGATATGACCCCCTTCCCCTCCCCAACCGGTTTTGAGCCTCTCAGGTCTCATTATCATGTGCTCGCTTCGGGAGGGTAATTTGACCCCGTAATATATTTTCGAGGATAGTTTCCGACCGGCTTCGTGTTTTAATATTTAAGCGTCAGCTCTGCACAGCTGTAAGCGATAGCACAGCAAATCTTTTGTTATACAAAATAAGAAGTTTGCGAGGTGCCTGACCTATGGTAGATCACACTCAGACCATGGTTGGCAGCGAAGGCGATGCCTGGGGAGTCGATGCATCTGATCAGCCAACGCAGTGTTAGACGTAGACAACGAACCGATTGAATTTGGGATTAAGACCATTTCCATACATTTTGGGCCAGACAGTGGAATTCAGACCGAGGCCAAACCAAGCAGCTTTCTCACCAGAGGACTTGCTTTATGAAGCATTTTTAATAGGTCAGGGGTAGTCACTGACCTAAAATGACCCCGATCAAAGTTGTGTTTTTAGAAACAACGCCCAGCGTTATCCTTTGTGCTTTTTTCAATAAAAATAAAACAATCTCGTAGTTTTACGTTCGCAGCGACATCTTTTAGCTTCCATATGAAATGTACACTAAAAACCAATTTCTTGGAGCGGGTATCAAGTATCAGGAGAATAGACGCCTACATGAGAGGGCTTGGAGACATTGCACATCGATCTAGGGTTTGGTCTGGTTTGACTTTATTTGACCTGAAGGTCGTGAACAAGGGATCTGTCAAATTGACGCAAGTGAACTCACGTACAGGCCTATTTACTCATGAATTTGTTGGATCTAGCGATGCTAATTTTTTCGATTGCTGTTTGTCTGTTGACGCCCCACCCGAGTGCGTTGCATTCATGTTACCACTATTCAGGTGCGAATGGCTTATGTCTCCCAATATTTTTGCTAAAATGCTACAAAATTTGATGAAGTAGATACCATGCACTTCCCTGACTATTATTTGCTGGTGATGGCTTATATGCTGTTCAAATCAAAAATGGAACTTCTGAACATTTTTGAACTAGTGTTTGACGAAACCAAGAGGGCGGTGTCCTTTTAAAGGACGTCGCCCTCTTTAGCCATTTGGGGAGATTAGGCTTGTCCCTAAGGCCCTTTGATCCTTAACAATACCCTGGGTTTGACTCCCGGTCATTTGCTGAAATTGATGCTCTGG